GAGGAAAATCACGATCTCGCTCAACACTTGGGAGAGAATAAAACAATTGCGCGGATCGAAGATCAACATTATTGGACTAACATAGACACGGGTGTACAAACGTATAAGAGTGTCCCATAAGTTTTTTCCGCATCACGCTGTGTATGTGGGATTGAAATAAGTACGGCCCTGAAAGAATGTCAAGTATCTGGGCTTAGAATGAAAGTGACAATGTGCGCGAGGATCGACTGCAGCGAATGTTTATGGTAGAGTCGAGTGAAAGTTTAGGGATGCGTCCAGAGTGGTTGAAGTACCTGACCCACCGAGGTTGCATGGGAAAGGAGCATGATTGCAAAGGAAAGCCTGGGTATAGAAAAGGACAGAGTGAATGCTTTAAATAAGGGTGCAAGGGCGCGGATCTTTCTTGTTTTGTAGCCGATAATCTATGTATAAGCGTATTGTATTTCATTAAGAAGTAACACAGCGCTACTTTAGCCCATCCACCCACCCCGATCCTACATGTATGACCTCGAGCCGGCTATATTTGTAAACATGTAGGCTTATGTATTGTCCGTTTATGGTATCGATTTCAGTCGTCTCGCAGCTCTTTCAAAGTACGTTTCGTTGGTGACAAAGTCTCTTTTAAAGTCTTTTTCTACGCCGTTCAATATGGATAGCCAAAAGAAGCATTCGCGGCATGTTATGCTTCATTAATCTCGCAGCTCTTTCAAAGTACGTTTCGTTGGTGACAAAGTCTCTTTTAAAATCTTTTTCTACGCCGTTCAATATGGATAGCCAAAAGAAGCATTCGCGGCATGTTATGCTTCATTACTTTAAAAATGGTAGTAGTGCAAAGGACACTGCAGACGAGATTTGCACCGTTTATGGGAGTGATACTACTACTATTAGAACTGTCTGCAATTGGTTTAAGAAATTTAGAGCTGGCAATTTTGATTTGAAAAATGAAGACCGCAGCAGCCGCCCAGCAACGACGGATACGGACCTCATCGTCTCCCAAACACATACTCACGGACCAGGGTCAAAATTTCGTATGCAAGCTCACTGAATCTGTTTCGTCGCGACGTGTGCCGCCCGTGACAACCGATTCCAGGCCGAACGCCGTTGCCGAACCGACACGACTGGAACGCTAAGTGCGCGATTGTGATCCTGTGCTTGAACCCCCGCGCCCCTCCTCAAATGTTTATACCTTGTCGAGGTGAGGTGATTCGATTGCGCAATCGCTAAATAAGCCGTATCCTTTGTGTTCCTGTTTCCAATCTCGCGTGTGAATTCGCCCAAGTGTTGTGCTACTCTTCGCTCTGAGCTATTGAAAGAGCTGACGGGCGACACATTTCGCGACGAAACAGAATCATTTGAGAAACTTTTTAAAATTAAGCATATAAAGACGACTAACTTCCACCCTCAAAGTAATGGCTCGCTCAAACGTGCGCATGGGATCTGTTAAGAACCAGTATCGACGAGAAAAGAACGAGTGGGACCAAAATCTTAATATTATATGTATGGCCTAAAATACCTGTGTGCACTCGGGCACAGGCTATACTCCTTTCGAACTAACTTTCGGACGCAAAGCTAATATGCCTTCAGCTATATCGTTGACTCCTGCGCACTATCTAGAGACGAACTGTTCAAACTTTGGCAAAACAGACATTCCCAATACCTTAAACACGCGAAAGAAATATAACAGAGCGCAACAAACTACGGAACAAACGAGATCAAGACCGTAAAATATGAATTCAGAGTTTCTATAATGTAAATGATCAAGTTCTTGTTCACACTGATCATAAACGACATAAACTAAGCCCGGAATTCCTAGGGCGGCATACCGTAGTACAAGACAGAAAACTCAACTACTTGTTAAAGGTCGGAAAAACGAAAACACTACTTGTACACGGTAACAGGTTACGACCATACCGTTCCCTTCTAAACCGTAGCACAAGTACTGATAACCCTGACCCCTAACTACCTGCCCGAAATATTAAGGGATAAAACCTTATCTGTATCATTCCAGAGATTAATCCTTGTACACTGAACTAACGCCCTAGAGATACAACCAATCAATAATACACAAATAATAACGGAAAAAATAGGGAAAACTTTTATATATCATCAGGAAGTTAAGGTCACGATACTATTTAAAATAGACGAGTTAGAACAAAGCGCGGAAAAAATACATTTATTAAGCGTCGCGACTCATGACTATTGCAAAAAACACGGATGTAAGACTTTCGGGTATGATATCATAGAAACAAAACTCTTTCGAATGAGACACGCGCTCAATAAATTACACAAACGCGGAAAAAGAGGACTTTTAACCGTTTGAGTGCCACGGGTCATTATTGTTTCCCAATCGATATTTGCCAAGCGGCGCGATAGCGCTTGTCATATTCCGTGCCCAAAAATGCCGAGCGGCGCGATAGCGCTTCTCATATTCCGCGTTCACCAACCGAGCGCGCTGATTGTCAGCTTCGCAGCTCAGAGCGCTGGCACTTTTGGACACAAAATAGAAGAAGCGCGATCGCGCCGCTTGGCACTCAAACGGTTAAACATCATCGGATCAGCATCTAAAGTATTATTCGGAACCCTAGATGAAGACGATCTTACCTTAATAAATCAGAATTTAGATAAATTATGTAGTATCGCAGAATGGCCACCTCGTGTGTAGGTGACTTTGGTTTGGAAAGTCGCCGAGGGTTCGAGGGCCAGGACGTTCGGAGAAACCCCGGCGATGCGGCAGGCCCTTAACATGACCATATTTGGTCGTGTTGGGGGAAGCTTTTTAGGGAATATATAAAGAAGGCAGAAATTGTTGAGGGACGATTCTTGAGAGACGATTCTTGAGAGACGCTTCTTGAGAGACGCTTCTTGAGAGACGCTTCTTGAGAGATAGTCAAGCTGGGTCAGTGAGTTGTAATTGTGTTGTTAGTTATAATCGTGTCGTTAGTTGTAGTCGTAAGAGTTTAGTTGATATATATATCTTTATTTGTAGTCTTTACCGTCACCACACGTTGTATTATATTTTATGCTCAATAAATAGAGACTATATTATTTAACAACCACCATGTCTCTACAATTATTTACCGATCAAAATCAAATCTCGTCAGAATCAGACGATTATGTTTAAAGCTCTCCTACAAGACGAACACTTTCACAAGCTATCAAGTAGATTACGGGAAAACACGCAGAAATTGACCACATTATAAAATGACCTTCTGTTAGAGCAAAATATTGTTATAATAGAAGCATTATTAACAGACTTAATTATTAAAATCAATGAGGAACGCAATGTGAGATGCTGAGAATTAAAGCTGGATACAGAGCGATGAAATTCGAGCAGAAGGGGCTAAAAGCAGAAGGGAGGAAATGGATAAAAAGATACCTAGACGAGAGAAGAGAAATGAAAATAAACACGAGAAATGCACAGGAAAGATTGCAATACCTAAACGGAAAAGGTTTTAGTCAAGAAGGTCTTGGGCAGATGGAACAGGATAACAGGGACGTATGTGCAATATTAAAAACAAGAGACAAAGAAATCCAAAGACAGATACAGTATAATAGAATTAAGAACTCTAGGTACAGTAGTTTATATAAATATATTAGAAGCTCAAGTTTGCTGCAGTATTTAGTTAAAAAATGGAACAGGAATAGCCAGTCTGGTAGCTAGGGAAACACTTGAGGAGGAGAATAAATTCTGGAGGAAGGTAGAAGACAGCAGATATAAACTCTGCGAGCAGAAGTCAGGCACTCTAAAGCACCTAATTGAAGATTGTACAAAAATTAATAGGGTAGGATACGGCATAGAAGGAATAACTAGTGATAAGTCGAGTGGTTGAGAATCGTGGACAAAAAATTAAAACAGAGTCAAGTAGAGGGAAGAGTAGAACAAACATGTAGCACTCTAAGATAAGCGATCCGAGAATGAAGTTAGTATTAAGATTATCGATTAGGTTAAGTATAAGTACGATAAGTTGCATTATTACAAACAAAATTTGTAAGACCAAGTTCCTTTTCTAGGCCGCAGAGGCTGACAATAAAGTTTATACTTTATCACGTTGACGCCGGCGCGGATATTCGCGGGCCGTTCCGTGCGGCGGCGGTTCAGCTAGCGGTCCGTCCCATGGGGCGGCACGGACCCAAGTTATACTGTTCAATGCTTGCGCCCTAATACCCATTAGCTGATTCGAATAGACCGAATTTGCAAAATTCTCACGTGGCCCACGCGCGGTCTGACCTGCCGATAGGACCCATGGTGGCCAGTCGCATGAATTGGCGAAAAACCCTAATTCGTTTTTTATGGCCATAAGCCCGGTCGACGGGCAAACGATGCATATGGTCAATGTCGTACTAGGAAAAAGAAATAGTCGCGGGTTTGTCGTAAATTATGTTGAGTGCGAGCGGCGATTTCGTCGAACATCCGACTGGCGATTTCCAGGCGGCCAGGCACTCGAGACCCCAATAGTACTTGGTTTCCTGGGCCGCTGACAAAGATGTATATTGCCGGGTTAAGTGGCCGAGGCCTGTCGCGTGGTTTTCCAGAGATCGGCTTGTTTTTCCTTTGGAAAATCATGGGCCTCGGGGTGGGATTTTGTTGGGCGAACCTTGTCCCGCCTCTGGATCTTCGGCGGCCCAATTAGAAGTACAGGGTCGCCCACGCATAGTGCAGAAAATTTGTGACTTTTTGGGGAACGAATACGCCCCAGTCGACACTTTTTGAATATATAGTGCGTGGCCTAGTAATGAGGGACCATTATCGAGCATTTAGACGACGACGTGATTTTTACTGAGTTTAGAGTTGACGGCAAGAGAGAAAGAGCTTTGTTAGTGTGCAAGTATTCTGTGTGAAGTGTCTGTGAGGTGCGAGGTCAGTAGAGTTCTGACATAACGAATTATCTGAGCACACATTACTTCCGGTAAGTGTAACGGTAGTAAAAAGTTTCTTTCCTTCTAAAAAGGCGGTTAGCATTTTTCATTTTTAATTTTTGCCCATCTAAATATTAGATACAATGGATATGGGATTCAGTGATTCGTCTGATGAATCCGTATTTGGAATCATGCCAAAGAGACGAAGAAATAGAATACTTTCATCATCATCATCGGACACGGCAACTGATAGAAATACCACGGAGGAAGAAGTTTGGGAGTCTGATGAGGAACAAGATGATGATGCGGAATGGCGGAAAATAGTAGAAAAATCTGCATCAGAGGAAGAGTGTTCGGACGGAGAAGAGTTATTGATGGAAGAGACGGACTGCGACGATCCTGTTGCAATATATAAACTATTCTTCACGGACGAGATATTAGAGACCATCGTTGAAGAGACTAACAGATACGCTGTACAGTGCATGGTGAATGCGGCATATGGCAGGAGACAACATCAACAACGATGGAACCCTGTCACAACAAGCGAACTGAATACCTTTATTGGTATATTGCTCATTATGGGTGTAGTGCAGGTACCCGAACTTCGATTATATTGGTCCAATAAGGCGATGTATGCAAATGCGCGTATAAAGAAAGCTATGAAACGCGATCGATTCTTAGCAATACTGAAATACTTACATTTTTCTGACAATGCTACGGCTAGAACCGAGGATCGGTTACATAAGCTCCGAAATGTAGTAGATAAAATTATTCGAACGTTCAAAGATGCAGTAAAACCCGGAAAAAATATAGTAATTGACGAAAGCATGATTCCGTGGAAAGGACGCCTTAGCTTTCGTCAATATATACCAGGCAAACGGCACAAGTACGGAATAAAACTGTATAAGCTCTGCCTTCCAGACGGATACACATATAACGTGCATATTTATTCCGGAAAAACAGAAACGAGGATTTTAAAATCACATTCGCATGATGTTGTGATGAAATTAATTGGAGATTTATTATTCAAGGGCCGGACTTTATTTACCGATAGTTTTTATACTAGCGTTCCTTTAGCCGAAGACCTTCTGACTAAAAGAACATATATTTGCGGTACTATCAAGATGAATAGAAAATTTCTACCGCCGCAGGCAAAACAAAAACAGAAACGGGGCGATATTATATCTTTGGAAAATCGGAGCGGCGTGAAATTTTTAAAGTGGACAGACAAAAGACCCCTGTGCATGCTAACCACTTCGAGATCTCAGAATTGCGCCTTAATTCGTGGCAAAAATGATAAATTAAAACCAGACGCCGTCTTTTCATACAATAGTGCGAAAAAAGGAGTGGATTTATCTGACCAAATGTGTTCCTACTATAAATGCTTGCGGAAAACGGTAAAATGGTACCGAAAAGTTGTCATGGAACTAATATGCGGGACCTCATTAGTAAATGCGTGGTACATCCACAACAAGTGGGGAACCAAGGGTTATAAAATGTTAAAATTTAGAGAAAAAATTATTGATTATCAATTGAAGAGTGTTGAAAATCCCCCTAATGACGAAGTAATAGTAAGTAGACGAAAAAAACATTTTCTAAGTACATACCAAGGACCCGCGAGGAAGATGAGGAAGAGGTGTAAAGAGTGTTACAAACGTTTAACAAACTTAAAAGGTACACGGTACGCCACAAACAAAACAAAAAGAATTATGACCTTTTGTAACAGTTGCCCGGATAAGCCGCCACTTTGTTTAAAATGTTTTAAAAAATTGCACCGGTAACATAAGTAGTTATAATTTGTTATATTTAATGTATTGATTAAATTATAAGCTATGAATTTTATGTTAAATGTTTGATTATAAGGTAGAAATGTTTATGTATAATGTTAGATCAATGAAATAACATTTTTTACTACGTATTTTTTGATATACAAACGTGGCCCATCGGTGGTACATGCCGCCCCACGGAACAATCTAGCATGGGCCACCGGTGGCCCATGCCGGCGTCAACGTGTTATACTATACTTAAATCAATGACTTCTGTCTCACTCTTATATTAGGCAAACGCGGAATAATCGATACCACTCTTCTTGAAGCTGAGGACTTCATAAAAGCGTATGTGTGAGAGGAGTCTTTATTTGGATGGCGTCACCCTGAATCGGGATCTATGTTTGCTTCGAAGAACCATCCAGCTTATCAATTCTCGAAGCAGGGTTGAGTGACGCAATGAGTCGTTATAGGGCCTATAAAAACCTAGCTGAAGGGTTCTTCCTCCGTCTGTACCACGCATCATAGAAGACTTCGAGCTTTTGTATATTTTGTACCGCAAAAAAATATAAATTATAACCAAAATCAAAAGTTCGTTTCGACTTATAAATCCGAACTTTACTACATATGGAACCATAGTACGTGATAACTTCATGATACATCACATACCAGCAAAATTAAAATATTTTCAAACATTGTTTGATATTAGCCGACTCAGAACACAGACTGTAGATAACGTATTAGCATATCAGATAATTATACCCATACTAGAAGAGAAAGAATGGAATATACTCAAATAAAATTACATAAAATTAATGTACCATATAAAATTAATAATGTACTCTTCGCACCGGTATTAGATCACGACATTATTACGCAACAAGCAATATCTCAAATCATTATTGACGAATCGTACATAAAACAATATTGCAGAGAAACCTCGATAAGATTAATATGCGAAAGAATCCAACCGACGCGACATCACTATCACACAGGATGTCAAAACTCTAAAGATTGCAAAGAATGCGGGACGGCCGTATTTAAGATAGACGATGTAACATTCGTACCAATGCACACTTCAAACAAATACATAGCCATTCCAAAAGACTCGATAGAAATCCAAGCTTTATGTAAAACGATGCGACACATTACACTTAACTCACCCGCGATAATTTCAAGCAACGAAGAATGTGTGCTCGTGTACAATAATAATGTAATGAAGATTAGAGGAACAACAAAATCGTAGAATCTCTACATCTAGCTACACTTTATACATTAATTTTACGGAGGATGAGATACAACTATTACAAAGTTATATCCCACGTGTACTTAAAATTACTCCAAACTTCAACGACTTTCAACACTCTCTGGAAAATATGAATACACAACTAAATGACATAAAAACACACAGAAGGATATTAATAGCGACAGAAATTTATGATGTATCGAGGATAACCGGATGGATATCATTAGGATTGATTACCTTTTACGCCCTTCGTAAGATAGGATTTCTCTCGTTTATTTCAAAAATCATACCAAGGGCGACATGTTTCAAAATATGCTGTAACGAGTTAAAAATCAGCAACGATTCAAAGTCGAACACATACACGACATCGCCATTGGCGCCTTTAACAGCACCACCTGAAGAATTCAACACCAATCAACTAGAAGAACTACCCAGTAGAAGATTGTATACTTTGGCGAACCTAAAGCGACTCTACGAAGGGGGATGTGATAGTCGCAAGAGTCCTAATGTTAAACCTAACTTCCCCTATCCGAAAATCATCAACATTCTGCCCAGTTCTCTTGCGCTATATCCAAAATCAGATATCTTATCCTAAAACTAACCCTTTTTATAAACACCCCACCTCGATTTTCCACTCGAAACCAGATATTTTATCTTAAAACGAATTCTCTTCATAAACACTCTACCTCGATTTCTCACGCCATACCCAAAATCCTATGTATAAAAGATTAAGAAAAGATTAAGATAGTATTAACACGTGGAATCAACCTTATTCTAAGAATATTTTATTCAAATAATTCGCGTTTATGGTCATTTGAAAAATCGTCCTCCATATTTGTTTCGGTCTCGCGTTCTCACGGTCAACGGCTTCGTTGAGTTTCTCGCGTTGGATTATTTATGTTAGAACCGATAATGAAACTCGCAGGCATCAAAATGTATTCTTCGATTAGTTAGTTTGCATCCAAAGCCACAGTAAAAAGTCAGAATGAATTCACCAGCCTCTACATCAAAATCTTTATCAGCTAATATCTTCATCGAAAGTGAGTGTGAAAATGATTGTCAATTAATCAATCGATCGAATGAAAAGCAGCAATTAAAGGATGCTTTAGTGTATGCAGAAGAACACCTTCGTGACAAAAATTGAATTGCCAGTGAAGAATTTACTGCGATTTCTGATGAAGCAATGGCAATGGGTGGCAAAATAGTTGAAAATATCCTTAACATGTTAAATGAACATAGCGTAGTTACAGAAGAATGTCTCATTGCTAATAACGATTCAGATAAGGAGAACATGTATGAAAATGTCACGCATGAAGATTTCTTGGAGGACATTGGTATGAACCTGAAGAAAAAAAATGTTGTTTGGATAATATTCCATTAGATGGTAAAATTAAAGCAGTGGTTCTAGCACGCCAGCATCCGTCATGGAATATGAAGACACTGCAGAGTAAAGGAAGTGAATTTTTAAAAAGGAAAGATGATTTATCTCGCTGAAAAGCATAAATTGAGAAAGGAGGGACAAAATATGACAAGTACCGTGCAATTGATCAGTGGACCTATGATCGGTTTAAAGAAGCCCGTGAAAACCTTTAACAAGTTACCACTCGTCAACTTCAGCAGTGGACGTTGGCAGGAGCATCCTAATATCAATTTGATCACTTCTAATTTCAAGCTTCTCCTCGGTGGGTTTCATATTTTAAAAACGAACGTCGCATTAGACAAAGGAAAATCACAAAATACGTTTCATTCAAAGAATCCGAGGATTTGTATGATATACTAAAAATGGCTGAGAACCTTCGAAAAATAGTAAAATTCATTATATCGCAATATGATACAGACAACATAATTAATACAGATCAAACCGGGTGCCAATACTACTCTACCTTTGACAGAACTCTAACAACGAAAGGAAAAAGAGCTGTTGTTAATAGAAAAAGTATTAATAAAACCACCCACTCATACACCGCACAATACGCAGTAACGATGTCAGGAAAGTTATTCGTGTCTTTCTGTGCATGTAGGAACCCAAGAGGTTTATAGAATAACAGAAATGTTACTATAACATGTTCCAAATCATGAAAACTAATGCAACAGTTATATAAAATATTCTTAAAATCAGTGCTACAACCCTATGTAAATAATAACAAATTTCTTCTATTAATTAATTCTTGGGGAGGACAAACAAATATAGAGATATATAAGTTGTTTGTCACTAATGAAGGAGAATGCACTTGCGCAATTAAAATTATTCCAACCAAGTGTACACCACTAGTTCAACCGTGTGATGTATACTTCTACCGACAAATTAAGAATTTATTGAAGAAAATTCAAAACTGCAATTATCTAGTGGAAAGTAAAAGAGAAATCGTAAGCAGTGAAGACGCCTAAACGGTGAAACAAGGACCATCCGAGCCGAAATAGAAACTTGAAGATACATACGAAGAAATCAATGGATCTACGTTCTGCAGAAACTTACAAGCCACATAAATAAAACTTCAGTCACTACATTCCTTCGATTAGTATAATCGAAAGCGATTATCCGTTGTCATCACCTGACAAACCGTTTCTCTCAAGGTTTTCTATAAACGTGGAAGCGGCCCTACCGCGGTGGGAATCTCATGATGGGCGAACCGTTCAAGAACACACGCATAAATATGGATACTTATTCTACAAATCAAAAACGGTTGGAGGCTCTTTTAGAGCGTGATGTAGGGGGGTCTGCTCTGTAGACACCACCGAAAACGTCACCGCGGCTCTAGATGCCCCCGTGACGTCTACGGTTATAGACCGCATACGGGAGAAAAGAGCATCGGTCAGACCTCTATAGCAAGAGACAATTGTAACAACAAGGGTGTGGCCTTAAGCGAAGGGGATGAGTCCGATGGCTCATTGGCATCCACGGCCCCGAATATTGGTGACAAGGGGCCACGGAGAGGACGACGATCAAAATGCATTCCCTTATTCATCACCAACTGTCCGCCTCCATTTTTATACCTATGCTGCAATACGCGTGGTTTACAACTGGCTTATGCACAGGAAGAAACATTTTTGAAAATATCAATCAAGTCTGCTTTCCAAAAAACTTATTAACAAACAGCAGATGTTCCTATAACAATACCCCATTTATTCGATGTACAAGATGTCGATGTGACCTATGCTTTTCCTGCTTCTACGATAAATATTTCTGTTGTAATCAACAATAAGTAAGTACCCTTTTCATTAAGAAATTTTATTTGCAATTTATTTCAAATTATATGTCTTCATAGACAAAAAATGAATACAACAACAAAAAAATAGATTGAAAAAAAAATTTTAAATGGTGGGATAAACAATGTAAAGAAGCAAAAAGACATGTAAAAAGTAAATATATAAAATGAAAAAAAGGGATGATTACAAGAGAAGAATACATAGAGGAGAAGAAACGATTCCGGGAAATGTGTAATGAGAAGAGAGAAAAGGTAAAGCAACAAGAAATGGAGGAGATAAGAAAGATTGAAACAGGGGCCCAAATTTGGAAATACATAGATAGAGAAAGGATGATGCGACAGAGGTGTGGAGAGTGTATAAAGATGGAAGCATGGGACCGTGAAAGCGTGGGAAGATACGCACTGCAGTACGAACACAAGGAGACCATTGAAAAACGCGTAGCAATCGATCTAGAAAATAGAAGAGCAGTGAAGATCTACGTTCTGAATCTAAAAGACGAAATAGAAACACGGGTATCGGCATGTAATCCGAAAGACCTCGTGGAAGCTCAAGAACCAGCGTT